TATATTACATTGTATATATAGGCTGCAACCGAATAAGATGTATACATATGCTTTATGCCCAACGTGTGGGTGAGCATGCATGTGTATGTATAGCATAATATGCATGCATATGTATGTATAATATAATGTTATGCATTATAACATTGTAGATCTAATAATATTATAATATAATGCGTGCACACATGAGTACATTTTACAGGTATAACTACCCCTTGAGTAACGTTTTTGAGTTAGAACTAACACGAATATTCAGTTGTGATGGAAACTTCATCCATCTAGCAGCACAACTTTACAAATGATTAATATCTGAATACCAAGTATATCACTATCCTGTTACCGTTCCATAAAGTTGTTTGGAAGTTGTTTTTGCAACTCACAAGTTTAAGTAAGTTTTTGAGTGGGTGTCCTAATTATTATTATCACGATAATGTAAGATTTTCCCGTCGTTGCAACGACGTCGACCAAAAAAAAATGAGCTTACCTGATCCAGAGCACAAACATTTTCAGGAATGGTGCCACAAAACATATCAGTTCTTTTGAAGAAAAAGATTATTGGTAGTCAAGTAGCTCGTAAACTATGTTGAGGGCCAATTTCTCACTGTAAAAGTTTGCAAGGAATTAACTTTATCGTGCTTAAGTTGGTTTTGAACTTAAATGGTTGCACAATAATTTGTTTGGTTGATTATAGGCAGCTCAACAATTTTGCACATTTTCAAGTATGAGACCGTACATCTACATTATAATTCGTTAACTCTCAAATTTGCATTGTCGTGCCTTATTGAAAATTCAGAGTGCTTCTGAAGCTATGGATCTATTTGTGGTAAAGACTACATCTAACGAGTTCCAATTACGTAAAATTACTATTGAAGGCACTTTTGATAATATTTTATTGAACCTTGATAAAACAATGAAAACAGTAACTAGAATAAAAAGTCCAAATTGGTAAACAACAGGTTCACAACTCACGTTAGGAGGTGGTTGGAGGGTCTGACTGGTGGGTCCTATTTTTTCCCCCTCCTGTTGGTTCTGTCTGTCTTTCTGACTTACTTTTCACCGGCACTAAATTGGCAGGTATAGTGTCGATGTTTTTCTTTTCACTAAAATATACAAACTCTTCGTGTTTGAAAAAGGTTAACAGTGCCTTTTGAAAACCTATAGTTCCAGTAGCCCCGAAAATACATTTTTTTTTAAAAACATTATTAATCTTACTTCATACGCTGGCCGAGGCAGGAAATAAAAACACAAAAATTGTCCAGGAAAAAGTAAGCAAACGATGCCTTCTACTCTTTGGTCCCTGAAGTGCACTGTGTCGATCTTTTGTACAGCTATCCAAATTATAAGGGTGGAAAATCTTTAACAAATATAAAGTCCTAATAACTCCTGTGCTTAGAATTAAAATGTTCTTCTCAATATTGAGGATGGTTCGGGAGCCTGAGAGAAGAAAGCCAAAGTTGGATTTTTATATAAAATGTACATTCTGAAAAGTAAAAAAAAATAATCGCAGAGGGAAATGTACGTGGTATCGATTCTATCTCCGCCTCCTTTTTCTTGAATATTGTGGTAAAAACTTCTTCGCATTATTTTGACATCGCGTCGACCCAAATGAGGCCCCTCTCAGAATGGAGATTCAGTAGCACGTGAAATAAATACTGAATGGAAGAGGGCTGAAGTTTACTTTTATCGAACATTGTATTGTTACTCACGTTTCACAGCAAGCCTTTGACTTCATATTAGCTTAGGGGAAGGAAGGGTAAAACTGGAACACGGGATTGGATTTAGGGAGAGAAAAAAAATAACTACCCCAAAATGTTTGATGGCAATAGGCCCTTTTCAATCAGACCAGAGTCATCGGACC